AGAAGTCTCCCCCTGTGAGGAAGAATGGCTATATATAACAACTCCTCTTCTTTAACCATCAATAGCGAAGTTTCCCTTCTACATCCCTGGTGATACATGGGCTTTCGTTTATTCGTGTATTTATTATTTTCTTCCCTTTAAAGTTTAGAACATAATGTTCAAATAATAATATTAGCCAATAAAATGACACAAAAGAAGAAAAGTAAAAATTCCCCAAATAGTAAAAAAGGTCTATGGATATTAAAGTGGGGGGGAGGGTTAGCTTCCCCCCCCCCCCCGTTTCAATATCTTAATTTTTATCTAACAGACATGTTTAAAAAGTTGCATGTTTGTATAATATGTATCTATATCATATCCGATGTCTTTGAAGGGGGGGGGGGGGGCTTTAATTTAGTTGACAATTTTCTTACATAGCTGTATATTGAACATGATTTATGTAAAGCTATAATTATTATGGTCCCCAAGGAAGGAAACTATTTCCCGAGGCTACCTCCAGAGATGAATGTTGCTGAAGGAAAGACAGTACAGAACAAGCTAAATATGAAATCAAGCACACAAGACCGAAACGGAGAATCGGATGTTTTTTTTTTTAAACATGGTATTTCTTGCCTGAAATTGTTAAATTCTTTATTGAAACAACTTTTTAAGTGTATTTAAAGTAGATTCAAAATTTCTTAAATTTATTTTATATTAAATAATCCGGAAGACAAGTCCAGGATCTATTAGTTTTACTCAAAATCCTGCATCCGCGCCTTTATGTCGCACAAATATCACGTGATAAATGTTTGCTCCCTCTCTCTGATTTGTCGACCTCTAGAGGCTATAGCAAACCAAAATAGAAGGTTAGTTTGTTCACGCTGTTTCTTCCAGAAACTCTTTCTATTGTTTTTGATGATTATCAGGTATTTAGCTGGAATTTTAACAATTTAAATAACGACAGTTTGAACTTTCTACTTTCGATTTGCCACCACAAGACCCACGTGTACATGCTGTAACTAAGAGGTAAGGTACAGAAGAATACAGCGCGTTTACAAAATGAAATACCTAATATTTAGCGCTTACAAGTTTTTGCAGATTAATCACATAAATTAATAGAAATGTGTGTTGAATTTGTACATTATGCCATTCAAGTCATTGCAACATGTCGAATCTGTTCCCGCAGGCCACTGGCGCTGCAATTTATGTAAATATTGAGTATGCGCGCATGTACATGATGTATACATGCACATACTGAATATTTATTTAAACTTCCAGTGCCCGTGCAGCAGGCAATAAATGACTTGCTCGAGTCTATATGTTTAATTTTAATGGTTTAAGTGCTTTCAGACTCGTAAATACTTCGTAATTTATGTTTGATAATATTTAAGTATGGTAGAGAGCAGAGATACAGATTTGTTAAACACAGTTAAAATTGAACAATTAAAGAACTGAAAGGAGGGGGGGGGGGGCAAAATTTTTCTTGTCAGATTATTTATCTTCAGGCTAGTCCAGGACAGACTATTTTCACCATGATCAAGGACAGATTTTTTAATTTCTTCTTCAGTAAAAAAAAGTTTGACGAGCAAAAATAAAAAAAAAAAAAAAGAAAAAAAAAAAGAAATAAATAATTGCAGAAAAGCAAAGCCCCCAAACTCAAAACTTCTATTTTGGGGGTGGGATGGGGGTTGAGCGGGCAGGTGGATTAGGACAGATTATTTTCAGCATTCTCGACGAATTATTTCTGCAACAATAAAAGTTTTCCTGAATAGTTTCAAAATGATAAGGGGGGGGGGGGTGTTATTCCATAAACAAGTGTCTGTGTCCCTTCCTCAGGCCCGGAAACACACCATCTGCAGATATAAATATTTATTTAGAAAGATGACGTAGCCCCCTTACATATTTGGGGTGTAAGGGGATGACCATCCCCTTGATTCTGAGGGGAGATGGTGAGGTATGAACAGTCAGTGTCATATTATTTATTTTCTTCCTAGTGAAGAACAGAATATTTACTTTCAAGAACATATTAATTTCCAAAATCTTAAACTTTGTACAAGTCAAGTAAAACTGCATTCTTTTCAGCTCATCTGAGACGAAGACTCAAGTGAGCTTTTCTGATCAAAATTTGTTTCTTGTATGTCGTTGTCATTGTTTTTGTCGTTGTTTTTAGCTCACATGAGCTGAAAGCTCAAGTGAGATTTCTGATCACATTTTGTCTGCAGTGCGTCTTCACATTTTTAACTTCTTCTCCAGAACCACTGGGCCGATTTCAACCAAACTTGCCACAAAGCATTTTTGGGTAAAGGGGGTTCAAGTTTGTTCAAATGAAGGGCCACACCCTCTTCCAAAGTGAGATTATTAAGAATCGGTGAAAATTTGGTGTCATCTTTCAAAAATCTTCTTCTCAAGAACCATTGGGCCAGAAAAGTAGAAACTTATGTGAAACCTTCATTACATGGTGTAGATTCAAGTTTGTTCAAATCATGACCCCCAAGGTAGGATGGGGCCACAATGGGGGATTAAAGTTTTACATTGGAATATAGAGGACAAATCTTTAAAAATCTTCTTCTTAAGAACAACAAAGCCACAATTAGTCATATTGATATGGAATTATCCTAAGGTAGTGTAGATTCAAGTTTGTTCAAATCATGAGTCATTGGGGTAGGGTGGGGCCACAATGGGGGGATCAAGTTTTATGGAGGATTATATAGGAAAAATCCTTAAAAATGTTTTCAAGCACAGGAAAGCCATGATTAGGCATATTGATATGGAAGCATCCCCAGATATTGTAGATTCAAGTTTGTTCAAGGCATTCTCTTGTAGTAAGGTGGGGCCATAATGGGGGATCAGAGTTTTACAAAAGAACATATATAGGAAATTTCTTTAAAAATCTTCTTCTCAAGAACAACAAAGCCATGATTAGTCATATTAATATGGAAGCATCCTCAGGTAGTGTAGATTCAAGTTTGTTAAAATCATGACACCCCCCCCCCCACCCCCCAGGGTAGGGTGGCAGACATCTTTAAAATTCCTTTTTCAAGAACAGCAAAGCTATGATTAGTTATATGAATATAGAAGCATCCTCGGAAATTTAAGATTCAATTTCATTCAAAACATGGCACCTGGGGGTAAGGTATGCCTAGAACAGGCGATCAAAGCTTTACACATGAATATATAGGAGAAGAAATCTGCTGACGAAGAACAGCAAGGTCATATTGACTAAGGTGAGCGTTATTGCCCATGGGCCTCTTGTTACAATTTAATCTTCTTGTCCAGAACCCCTGGGTCAATTTCAACCAAACTTTGCACAACTTATCCTTGAGTAAAGGAAATTAAAGTTTGTTTTTTTTTTTTTTCAAATGAAGGGTTACACCCTCTTCCAAGAGGAGATAATTAAAAAAGTTAGAAATATTGGGCCAACTTTAAGATAATGTTTGCTTGCCCTCTTCCGACTCTTGGTAAAAGAATTAAGTCGGTCGGTAAGTGAAAAAAATTTTTTCCAAAGAAAATTTCAAAATCAATGCTGAATTTTCAAAATCTATTTTCTGGAATGCATAAAAAAAAAAAAAAAAATTGCTTCCTGGAGGTTAAGAAAAGCTTTGAGTCGGGCCATTTTTAGCCAGTTGGTCGGGACAGCCGGGCACCCAAACGATTTTTTAAAGATGGCCCTGGGTGTGGTCATTTGAAAATCTTCTCAAGAACCACTGGGCCAGAAAAGATGAAACATATATGAAAGCCTCCTGACATAGTGTAGTTTCAAATTTCTAAGCTCATCTGAACTGAAAGGCTCAAGTCAGCTTTTCTGATCACCTGTTGTCAGGCATCCATCTGTCTGTCTGTCTAGCTGCTCACAGTCTGCCTATCTGTCTGTAAACTTTTCACATTTTTGACTTCTTCTCAAGAACCACTGGGCTAATTTTAAATAATGTTGGCACAAAACATCCTTGGGTAAAGAAGATTGTAAGTTGTTGAAATGAAGGGACAGGTCCTCTTCCAAGGGGAGATAATCAGAGAAAGACAAAAATATGGTGGGGTCATTAAAAACACCTTCTTCTTAAGAAAACACTTGACAGAAAAAGCAAAACATGCATTTAAGCTTCCTGAGGTAGAGTAGATTCTAAATCGTTCATATCATGGCCTCCAGGGGTAGGGTGGGGGCACATAAGGAATCTGTTAAATATTGAAATATATTGGAAAATTCATTTTAAATCTTCTTCTTAAGAACAACTGGACCAGAAAAGCTGAAACTGATGTGGAAGCTTCCTGAGTTAGTGTAGATTTTAAATTGATCAAATCATATCAAGGTCCCCAGGGGTAGGGTGGGACCACAATAAGGAATCAATTTTCATTGAAATACATGTATATCAGAAAATTCTTTTCGAACCTTCTTCTTAAGAACCACTGGACCAGAAAAGCTGAAACTTATGTGGAAGCTTTCTGAGGAAGTGTAGATTGTTAATTGTTCAGATCATGGTCCCAAGGGATAGGGTGAAGCAAGTATATGTAAACATTTTCAACTTCTTCTCAAGAATCACTGGACCAATTTTTAAACAAAAATTGATACAAAGCATCCATGGGTAAAGGGGATTTGTAAATGTTAAAATAAAGACCAAAGCCTCCTTCTGAGGGGAGATAATAAAGAAAAGGCAAAACTAGGGTTGGGTCATTCTTCTCATTAACAAGAACTTCTGGGCCAGAAAAGCTGAAACTTGAAGCATTTTGAGGTAGTGTAGATTCTAAATTGTTCAAATCATTGCCTCCAGGGGTAAGGTGGGGCCACAATAGGTAATCAAAGTTTTACATTGATATACATGTATATTGGAAAATCTTTAAATTCTTCTTCTCAAGAACCGTTGCACAAGAAAAGCTGAAACTTATGTGGTCCCTTATATATTTTAGATTCTATTTTGCTCATTTCATGTCCCTGGGGGTGGAGTGGGGCCACGGTAGGCCCGTACTTGAATTAGTAAGCAAGAAGCAATGCATTCAAACATGATTACCACTAAATAAAATACGTTTGCAGCATGTTGAATGTTTTCTTCTTTCAGGTTGTAAATATCAATACAATGGCAACAGCACAAGGTCAAGATGTGATACGCTGCAAGTTGTGTCCAGAACCCGTAGATTTTCACTGCAATTTGTGTAGTACGGATTTATGTAGCAGCTGTGTTTTGAGACACATGATGGATAAATCCAGGAATCATGAAGTTGTTGCATTTGAGAGCAGAAAGAACAAAATGGAGAATCCCGAGTGTCAGTCTCACAAAATTAAATGCGAAACCTATTGTCGTGATTGCAAAGCTTCCATATGTATCAAATGCGTTATAGGTTCACACAAAGGACATGATGTCATGGAAATAGACGAAATAGTTCAAATGCAACGGAAACGAATTGAATCTGATATAAAAGATTTAGAGGAAAATGCATTGTGTAGAATTATACTCATGAAAGAAATTAATTCTTCAAGCAATGCTGTTATTGATAACGTCATGGATGAGATAACCCAAAGAGAAAACCAAATCAAGATCGCAGTTCACAATATGGCGGAGAGGATGAGGAGAAAGGTTGTTCTAAATAAGAAACGGAATACAGCTGTCATTTCAGAAAACCAGTCAAAAATTTCTAATTTGGAATCCAGAATCAAACAAGTGATAGAAAAGAAAAACCACATTTTACAATCTCGACGGATACAGGATATACTGAACTATGAGAATATTAAAGAAGATTTCAAAACAGATTTAAATCTCGAAAAGTGTGTATACCCACATTTGGTATGTAGTGAAATTGAAAATGATCAAATTGTTCGTTTGCTTGGTAATTTGTCCTGTGAGGAGATCCAAGCAGTCAAACAAAATTTACATTTGAAAGAGACCCCTGAGATATTGCATTCATGTACACTTCAGAGTTCTAACAAATCTCTTTGGAGAATATTGTGTGTAGGAAATAATACACTGTGGGTAAGTGGAGAAAAGAACTCAATCAAGCAAATCGACAGACATGGGGCACCTTTGCAGACAATAAACACAACAAAAACCCCTGTAGCCTTCTCATTTGATAACTGGAAATCTTTAACATTTGCAGTAAATGATGACTCCAATGTCTATATTGTCAAAGACAACAAAGTAGAGAAATATTTGAATTGTGATGGTTGGTTACCGAAGGGTCTTTGTCATCTGAGGAACGGATATATGTTGGTAAGCATGCGCTCTTATGATGAGAAGCAAAGTAGAGTGGTAAGATTTTCAGGTTCTACAGCAATTCAGATGATTCAATATGGTAACTCCAAACAGCCTTTGTTTTCCTGTGACGTTTCCTTTGTGCTTTTGTTAACTGAGAATGGTAACACTACTGGACTTATTATCCCCTGATATTCTGATTTTTCTCTGAAAATCTCTGTCAACCATTGTACTTTCACTGTACATTACTGTACTTACCTCTGTACTTCACAGTACATAACAGTACAACACTGTACAGAAGCACGGCATTTCACAGCACCTCCCTGTACTTCACAGTACACTTCCTCTGTACATCACAGTACCCCACAATACTCCACAGTACGCAGTCACTGCTTACCACTGTACGTCACAGATATTAGCTGTACAGATAACTGATCTTCACAGTACATTGCTGTTATTCCCTGAACCCTCAAACTGTACATCACAGTACATCAAAACATTCTACAGTTTTTCAGTAAATACCAATGTACAATCAATTTTACTCTGTCCTACTCTGAAAAGCTTTGTATCCTAGGAAATTTATTTAATATTTTTAAAAAAAAAAATCTTATTTTATTTCATGGTTCCTTTTGAATACATGTATTTCTGAGAGATTAATTTTCAAAATGGATAGAACGCCCTTGATTCTAGATATAACTGAAAATGTTTTATTTAAATGTTCTATTTTCTTCTTAATACTTTTGTCCAAGTATTTTAAATGAGTTTCCATTTAACATCTGAGAAATGAGTAAACGGACATTTTAAAGAGTTAAAGAGTTTTTCAATTCTTTTTAATTTATAGTTAATTAATTATATTAATCTTTTCTTCACATAGTATTGCATGTTTTTAATTCTACATAATTGTGTACACTGAAAATCTGAGTAAAGCCAATGTTATGATTTAGATTTCTGATTTTCAATTATAATAATTCAACTTTTCATTTTCCTTGAATTATCTTATATGTACAGCGTACATCTACTGATAATTTTCTCTTTGTATTCATTATGAAAACAACTAGAATTAATTAATCCCTAATCGCCGTCAAACGTACTGATACCCCCCCCCATTTTTCTCGACAAACTGAGAGAAATTATTGAAAATGTACCGTCTTTACTGCAATATGTCGATAATTATTGACCTTAAGTTATATTGCCGGTATTGAACTCCAGAACAGTGCTGATTATCTTGGTTTGTGATGATAAACGTAATAAAATATAAATAATTTTATTATTAACATAGTTCCCGACTAATTCGATATAAAATACAAAGTATTAATTTTGCGAATCAAGTTTTAACTTAAGTGAATGTATGGAACCGTTGCTTTTTATCTCTTTCCAAGTTCAATCTTTAAATCAATTAATACAGGCCCGTAGGAAGCAATTTCACATTGAGGGGGCACAACCATACATTTTCAGTTGGGGGGGGGGGGCACTATGAACTACCAAAATTCCTTGACAAGCTAAAAAAAAGGTCATCAGACATTATTATTGAGTGGGCACAAGCATCTAGCAGCTATGTTTTCTATAGTATTGTATATATCGGCAAAATTATTGGGGGGGGGGCACGCCCCCGTGCCCCCCCCCCCCCGGTTCCCACGGCCATGTAATAAATTTAATTCAAGAATTAATTATCATTTTATTCTATTCAATACAATGGGTACGTATCTCCGTATGCATGTAGCTTGCTTTATTTCCTTTTACCATTGATTAGAAAAACATGTTTTTAAATATTTCTCAACAAGACAAGCGCCTCTGAATTTTTTTCTCTATGTACAATTGTTTTAATGTAAAATTATAAAGACTTGGTTTAAAATTAAGGAGTAATTGTACATGTAATTTAAAATATCCCTTCTAACCGCTTTTAAGGATTTCTGGTATCCTCAGACAGATTTCTGAAATGGGTAGGAATAATGATCTTTAACGTTTGTTACAGCTGATGTGGAAACACACCTCCCGCCAACCCCAACCCCTCTTTCCACCCACACCCTTTACGAAAAAACACTAGACACTTGGTATCAATACTTCATAATAAACGAGGTTCTTACTAAACTTCCTTGCTGAAATATAGTTCGTGAATTTTTAAATACTATATCAAACAATTGTGTCCTAATTAGGCTCTAAACCATTACATATAAGAAAACCTTTAAACGCTTAAAATATGAATAGAATTCCCCGAATTACATAAAAAACCTAAATATCTGGTATGCACCAAAGGGATCCAATTTTATGTGTCGTTTTACTTTAAATTTCTTTGACCACTTTGCACAAACGTATTTATCATAACGTTTTGTCTCAGTTTCATATCTCAATCACTGGCCCAAACGATAATCAGCGCAAAGTTTTACCGTCATCTCTCTCTCTCTCTCTCTCTCTCTCTCATATACATATAAAGACAGAGGCTGTGACATCAATGTAAAAATAAAGTTTTACATGTATATGCGGTGCGTATAATTCCGACTGAAATTTGATTTTTTTTATTTCTTCTGAAATTTTTGCATGTGATTTATTTTCAAATTATGAATTTATTGAATTATTTAAATAATAATTGCAAGTTCACACAATTACCCCATGAACATGAGAACAAGGTGTGTATTTAAACTATACTCATGAAAAAAAGACTTAATTAGACTCTGTTACACCACCCTTTTTGTTGCTTGATATTGCCCACCCAAACTTAAAATGTATGGACATGCCCTGTCAAACCAAGTAAACAGGTCTTTCGCGGGACTGCACTTGTTTTATTTTATTAAAGTTTATATTCACACTTAAAGTTCGTTTTCTTTTATATGTTTATAGATGTATAAATAATGTAGTTCGGACGACATCACAATAACTTATTATTGTGCGATTTGTAACTTTTCAGTCCTGTAAAATGCACATCGCACACTAAACCGATCTACCAGAAAACAGGGGGGAGGGATGCTAAAATGATTTTCTTTTTTCCCTTAAATGAGTATCACATTATCTGAAATCATTTCTTTTTATATATTTATCTATTGTGAAGGAAAGTGATAGATTATAAATATTTCAATTGATAATGTGTTCAATGGCTCAAACTTGTGTCCTTCACCTCGCTGTGGCCGTAATGTTGCGTAACTAACTTCATGTGAACTCCGGCGAGTGCCATTCTGTATAATGCAGCAGTGACACCTATTGTCTTAGTGTCTCGCTACCGTACACACTCGGATCACCTCAGTCGATTCTATCTACACACGGAGTAACATCACAGACTTTCCGATTGTTTGTTTGATAATTCCGGTATTCAACAGATTCGAATCATTTCGTGATTAGATCAGGCGAGAAATTATAAATTAAAAATAATGATACCGTATCTATTGAGAGGTCAGTCGCTCACACACTCAGTTAAAAAAAAATACATGATTGTCCGTGTGTCAAAGTTTTGAGAGATCTGAAAAGTTTTCGCCTTAGTTAGTAATTAGACACTTGTTCATTATACTTCCCCGTCCATGTATTTTATTTTTCAATTAAATCAGTAACAAAATGGCACATGCACTTAACGTTATGTATTTTTTTTTTTACTATTATTTGTTATCTTCTTAATCTCGCTGGGCTTTACGCACGAATGAAAATGGACGACTAATTTTTTTTCACACTTCCCGGTAATTGCTAGCTATTTTTTTTAAAACAAATAAATAACTTACATGGTTTTTCTAAGATAGCCAGGTCTCTAAACTTCCATTATAACTTTTACATCATACGTGGAATCCTCAATGATCAAAATGTTATTTTTAATTCCGAAATCATTTCTCTCCTCCTCTAGTTGAAGATTGTTAAGTGCGGAACACGATCTCGATTTTAATTTCATATATTGAATGCCAAGTGCTATCGTATTCTGTATACGGATCTGCACATAGATATATTATTCTCACCTGTTTGACCAATGAAGCATTTCTTTAATTGTGAATGCATTTTCTTATGAATATGTATATAAATCGTAAATTATATTAGCTTAGGGTCATATTATTGATATTGATACATTTGGTTTGTACAGCTGATCATGAATAAATGAACCGAATTTTCATGCATATTGTTCGATTTTAAGGTATATGTCATAATATGTCCACCAGATTGATGTCAGACCCCCCCCCCCCTTTTTCGCCATTGAACTGGGGTGCCGATGGGGACATTTTACTTTTAAAAATTCACCAAATGTAGTAATTATAAAATTTTAAAAATTAATTTTATTTTGTTATTCTCAACTCAAATTATGGGAAAAGAAACAAACAAAAATTCATCCAACACTTGATCTGTGGTTTGCATTTTTTCGACTTACAATAACCTAAGAAAAATTATACTAAATATAGTAAGTCAGGTTTTCAAATTTATCTTGGATATATTTTTCCTCTCCATATGGTCATGAAATAGACAATGATCAACTAATAGCAATGGCCTTAAATGTATATTTACAGACTCAAAGTGCTAAAAATGTGTTTGAAGCAACTAAAAAATAACTAATTAAAGAATATATTTAAAAAAAAAATATGCGAACTCAACCTTTAAAAAATGGAATAAATAGCAATACAGCAAACTATCCTGAATAAATTTGAATTCACATTTTACGGCATTTGCAGCAAATCATAAATCAATTCATTCAATTATTTATTAATCAATCTTTCTTTTAAAATTTAATTATAACTATCAAGCTTAATGGAACCAGTTGTGGGGGGAGGGGGGCTGGGGGGGGGGGGGTCCTTCCTTTTTTTGGCTCGCTAAGGAATTCGAACAGTACGGTGTCCCTCAAACTGAAAAAAATTATCTGTTCGCCCCCGGCAGATCCTGGGCTGCCTATCTGATTTTTCTGTCCCACGGAGCTACATGTACACATGTACAGTTCTACTTTCCGTATAAGTATAATAACATTGTTCGTGAAACTAGGCCTTCCAATGTAATACTCTAAGGGTATGCAAAGTGTATATTGTATATGAAACACATCTTAAAGTTTTTAAACACAAACTTATTTAACACCGATTGATTACTCTTGCAATTAAATTGGCTAATCCCCCCCCCTCTCTCTCTCTCTCTCTTTTACAGAGAGGTTCTGTTTACTTTTATCTGAAGTGCACTTAGTCTACTATTTACACAGCAAATAACACATCAGCTGCATGTTACTTTTTTCGTCCTAATTTAATATTATAATTATAATAATTATTATTAATATTAAAATTTCAAATAACTCCCTTTGTTGTTTGTTTGCTATTATATTTGAAGACTTAGAGAAAGAGAAAAAAAATTACAATCCAAATGATAAATAAAAATAAATAAATAAATAAATAAAAATATAATTTTTCATAAATAATTCAAATAATGAAAATATTCTGAAGTTTTTTTTTTTTTTTTTTTTGATATCTAATTATTTGATTAAGGATATCAAAATAAACGTCTCAATACGTATAATCTAAATCTGTGTTTGAATTTGCGTTTCTTTTAATTCAAAAATATCTTAAGTTTGAAGCTCTCAAGAATTTATAAATATATTGCTTCCTGTCGTTGTGTAACCACCCCTTGTTGATATATCAGGACACTCAGTCTTGAAACCTATTGTTTAAATCTCTGGCTACTGTCCGCTGTTTAATCCACCGTTTTCCTGTTTGGTATACATTTTCTGTTGAGTGTACACGTTAACCCACAACCATGATAAGCCACCCTACCCACTGAATCATTCTTTTCATTTTTTGATATTTTATTTGTATTGACAAAGTCAATTCAAACAATAATTAGTTTTTTTTTTATCACAAGCCTTGGTAAAAAATAATTAAAGTGACAGGGTAAATGTATGAGTGAGAGAAAGAGAGACTTGATTTTTTCATTAAAAATATTTTAAAAATATATAATATACTTAGTCTAATGTTTCAAAATTTTTCTTAACATGTAACTTTGCCTACCAAATCAGGTTGTTAACTGCATTATCGAACTATGGAAAATGACAATGTGACGTTAAAATTGTTCAATACTATGACTGATAATTATTATATATAATTTAATTGCTCAGTAAATTCAAAACTTTAAAACTAGAGGAATCATAATTATCAATTAAATGATCTTAAATATAATTTATAGGATTTTTTTTATATACTTTTTATACATGTATATGGTGCTAGTGTGTGTTAAGTGTACTAACAGCACAAATTTATCACTCTTGAAATAAATATTTTATTCGCTGAAATCTAAAATACCAAAGGCTTCTGAACAATTAGAGAAGTAACAAGAGAAGAATAAAATTTAGGAAATTCAAAAGTTAAATTTCATTCATTTAATAAGTCTAAAATATTCGCAGTATGGTTCAGTGATGTACAGTGCCAAACTGGGAAGCGTACATTGAACTTCAGTGATGTACAGTGCCAGTCTGGGACGCGTACAGTGAGCAACAGTAGTGTACTGTGCTGTACAGAAGTTGAGTACTGTACACGTCTGTGATGTACAGTACTGTACTGTGCAGGCGTACAAGGACAGACAGTGGTGTACTGGGCCGTACAGAGGGGACGTACAGTAAAGTACAGGGATGTATAGAAAATAACAGTGGGTTTGTACTGTGATTTACTGGGGATTACAGTAGGCACAGGGATTTTGTACAGTGACTGTACAGTGTTTATACAGAGAAAAGCAGTACTGAAACAGTGGATATCAGAGTTTATCAGAGATTTTTCAGAATATCAGGGAATTTTAAGTCCAGTAGTGTAATGGGGACATTTGTGTGGCAGACTATGGAGGAAGTGCGGTTGTTGTTTTGGATTCTTTTGGTGGACTGCGATTTAAGTACGACGGAAATCTCTCCAACCAATCAAAGTACACACAATTCCTGCCAATGCACATTGCTGCTGATGTCAGTCATCAGATTCTGATTGGTGATAGCAGAAATAACATTGTTCACATCATTGACTGTGATGGCAACTTTGTCCGTTATTTAGAGCATTCCTGTAATGGAGGACTTAGTATAGATGCTGACAACAATTTAGTTATTGGTGATAGAAAAAGTGGAAAAATTCAATTTATCAAATATCTGGAGTAATTTCCTTGTAGTGAATAAAATTAAAGCCAACTAGAAGTTCGACTATATCTTTAAATCCATTTTTTGTTGCATCCCCTGCTCTAATTAAGTTCCCCAAGGCAAGACTAGAAACATATATTGTTTTTTTTTACATTGTTATCCTGTATTCTTCTTCCAGGGTAGTGATCGGAAGTCCGAAGGTCGTGGGTTCAAACCCCGGCCGCGACTGATCTAAGTCAATAAAAAAAGACAGTTACTGTTCCTTGAGACCTTAAAAGCTGAGGCCCCGTATCACGACATGCGTTTCGAATATGAAATCCCTCACTGCTCAATGGACCTGAATGCTGAGGAAAGGTCTAAATTTGAAGCCCTTACCGGTACATGGTGACATCTCTAAATGAGTGAAAAATTTTCGAACTAGACATATAACATATAATCAATCCTTCTTCGTGGGTACTTTATTGTCTCCAAGTGATCTCAGAAACTATTCATCTGATTGAGATGAAAACTTTTGAGGGTTAATAGCATGTTGTGTAGATGTGCGGAACGAAGGTCATATTTAACACATGCATGCACGTGTTTGTGCATGCGATGGTTGAAATGACTGATATACTTAATGTAGCAGTAATTTTAATGTTTTTTATGAAATGCTTGGAAACTCAAAATATAAAGTTATGTAAATGGTCTTAAGAAGAGGACATGATCACATTAGCATGATCTCAATCGCATACACGTGCATTTCGCACTAATTGGCTGGGACAAAAATCACAATACCTACCTTGTTTCTTGAAAAATATACTTTGGAATTTAAAATATAGGTATATATTATTAGCTCTTCTGAGCCAAAGGCTCAAAGAGCTAATGCTATGGCCATTTGTGCGGTATGTGTAAACTTTTTAGAATATAGGCCATAACTCAAGAACCCCTTGGCCAATTATTGTCAAATTTGTCACAGTGTATCCTTGGCCCAAGGGCTCTCGTTTATACTAAAACTAGGGTTGTGACCCTTTGACAAGGGAAGATAATTAGGAAAATAGAAACAAATGTACTGGTTTCTAAAAAATCTTCTTCTCAAGAACCACTGGGGAGATTATCACCAAACTTACCCAAAGGATAAGGATATGTTGTAGATTAAAATTTGCATGGGGATTTACCTTGGGGCAAAGGGCGTGGTCTCAAGGTCACTTCAAATTTGACCAAAAATTACATTTTATTAAAATGTTGATATTTTGCTTACTATAAGGACTAGAATCATCAAATCTTGTCAGTTGATGCATCTAAGGACCTTATATCATGTTGACTCAAAAGTAGGTCACGGTGACCTACTTTTTAAATTTTGTGGCCATTCTTTTTCAAAATGATTTAGAGGCATATTTTGAACAATTTAACATCAGTTCTCTGTAAGGACCAAAATTTTACTGTAGAGCTGTGGCACACACCATCAGCGATTTTCATGAAACTTTTTCAGGTGATTAATGCCTATACATTATTACATAATCAACATTCAAAATTAAGGTTACTACCTTGGTTGCCATGGTAAAGGGCTAATATAGATTTTTGCCCCATTTACTCTCATTTCAAGCATAAAAATGCTATATACTTGATTTCATGTGGTTTAATCATCTTTATTATTTTGTGAAAATTCATATATTAATTGAATAGAACGAATGAAGCACTATATAACACAATAAAAAAAATGTACAAGTCACTGCAAATTCTTCAATTTTTGGCTCAAAGATGACCAAATTCTTACATTTTGAAAATGGTCATTTTTACCCTATATTTCAAGAAGTCTCTGAAGAAATGAGGCAAATCAAGAAAAAATCACCTGACATTTTAAAAACACCATAATAATATTAGTTAACTTTTATGAAAAGTAGAGTGGGGATTTATTTTGTTTTCAGTATTTTTAACTTCGAAAATTGGCATTTTGCCAAATAATATTTTGCTCAAAATGAATACTAGACACAGGTTGTTTTATAATGTTTCTTTTCCAAACATTTTTCTCACTAATAAGTAAGACAAACTGAATGATTAATAAATATTATTAAAGATAATAAATAAGATAAAACAAAATTTGTTGAATTATAATTGTTTCTCTTTGATCTTTCACAAAGGGCAGATAACTCAAAATCTAAAGAAAATTAGCTATTCAACTTTTCACTGGAACTCATTTCAGTAAACAACGTTTTCAAATACTAGATAAAAATGGAAAAAGATAATGGATAAAAACTCTAATGATACTTTTTCAACCAAAAAATAATAAATAAAAAAAAAATAAATTATTACTTTTTTCTAAATATAAGGTAGGTAGATATTAATTTAGCAGGTTTGTAATTTGATAAGCTATTATGTTAATTTCCTCCAATTAAATTTTGCTTGTTCCCAGATGCATATCTTTATATATTAATTTTATTTGGTTAAAGAAATTTAGAATTATTTAGACTGATCATAAATTAACACCCCATTGAAAATAAAACTATTAATGTATAGTCTTACAATCAGTAAACATACACATATTCATGTGTATATGTACAATTTTATCACTACTTTGAAAAACAGTTTGTTTCAAATTATTAATCAAGCAAGAATCTACATTTAAACATTATCCAAAATGTATATTTAGTCAGAGATAAACAAAATGTAGAAAATAACTGTTATATAGCAATTTTGTAGACAATAGAAACAGCTAGGCTTGATGTTTCCATGATATCTCTTTACATCAGAGGTTGGCCATTATGTGGTGTTGTGTCTGTCCAGTCAGGAAGAATTTTAAATGGGTTTGAAAAGTGATACTTGAAATAATCATCTTCATCTTTTCCCCTGGAATAAAAAAACATACATGTATTCTTTAATCAAAAATCAATTGTTTAATATCTACTACATTTTTTATGTGATAACAAATACAAGTATATAAACATATAAATTAATAAATTTTGCAAATAAACTCCGAAACGGGTGCACCAGAGTTCTTACTTACTCCTCTAACAATACACTAGATACAAGCTGATGTCCGTAAACTATATTTAGATTTCACTCGCATAGTAAGTATCGTACATTAAATTAAAAGTCTACTTTCATTTTCTATAAACGGCCATGAAATAGCTAAAACGTGAGTACGGTGGCGTTTCCGGTTGGCGGATCTAAGCTACTGGCAATTTTTAATGAAACTGACAACAAGCAATCGTTTATTTATTACATAAAACGTCATCACTGAATTATTCAATTAAAACTCGATTTAAATGATATAAAAGAAACAAGTTGTGATAACCGATTAAAAAGGGAAATGTGCAAAATATTTTCGTCATTCATCGATCTTTATATTGACGGAAGCTTCTAGAACATCATATAGCATCGAGCCCGATGTTAAGAAAAAAAGGAGGCGATTATAGCTATATGACCATAACAAAAGCTTTTTCGTGTAAATGGTCATAATTGAAATAATGGTAAATCACTGATAACACTATAAGTTGTGAATATAATTATATATCGAAAGACTATTACATTTACATGTACGTAGTAGGTTTTCCTAATAAATTTATCGGTAAAATTTGTATATATTCCTCCTGAGCGCATCGTGACAACGAACCCGAAGTACAATTAAACTTGCTTACATGAAAAGAGAAAATTAATGAATAAGGTATTGTTCAAATACAATTAAAGATGTAAAATTTTGCACTTTAATCAATGCACAGTTAATTTCTAAATACAATCTTTTATAGCTGCAATAATGTAGCCTTCTCCTTTTTTGAGGGGGGGGGGGGCAGAGAGAGAGAGGCCAGAAAATATCAGATAAAATTAAAAAAAAAATCGGAGAGGGCTACATTATTGCAGCTTAGTCTTTTGTATCAAATACTCAGCCTATTCATAGGGCGATAAAAGCTAATTTTTACACAGGTACTTGGTTCTTGGTTTATGAATATGTATGTACCTTATTGACAGGTAAAAAAGTAAAGTACATTTTTACATATCAATAAGGTACAAACATATTTATAAACCAAGATCCAAATACCTGTGAATTTTTAAACTCCCCCCCCCCCCCATCAATTTATTAGTAAAACGTTCATATTCGTTGCTTTTATCCTTGACAGAAATGAAATAAGAGCATCTGAAGTACAATATCCATAACACGGTATAACAGGTTTCACAATAAACGTCAATTAATGAAATTGCTATTTTTCAAGTTTAAAAATAAATAAATAAATAAATAAAAAAGGGAGGGGTTGTTTGGGGGGGGGGGGGGATTGGATAGGTAAATCTACTTCATGCGGGATTTTGAACAAAGTATTTGTTCCTGCATGCTGAACAAAGTATTTGTTCCTGCTATAAGCCGGTAGACTGTCAATAGAGAACTACAGTATATTTTCTGTCGGTAGTGGTATAAATTCAATTCCCCGCGCTTCTAAGATAGTAGTTACTAGTTAGTATTTACATCTTGAAATAGATTGCCTCAAAATTCCTGCATGTGTACTTAAAAAAGCAGGCTTCATATCACAGGTGCTTGGGGACGGGACCCCCCCACCCCACCCCCACCCCCCGCGTTCCGTACTTTAAGGGTTCTCCCCGACTTTTTTATATAAAATATTTTTCTATGACACATTCACAAAGTATTACAATTGAAAAAATGCAAAATATAACCTAAAACTAACCTTTTATAAAAATTCATACTCTCTGATACTAAAAAAGAACTTTTAGTATCGGAGAGTATGAATTTTTTTAGGGGCGGGGGTACGGAACGCGGGGGAGGTGGGGGAGGGGTACCGTCCCCAAGCACCTGTTCTTCATATTTGATCACCTTTGGCGCAGACAACAATGTGCTAATTAATGAATACTGTAAATAAATCATTATGTAGCGCTAATTCATGATTACACCAACCACTCCATACCAAGTGATTGCGCTAAATTTTGAATACGCCAGTTTATGTACACATTTTACCATCACCTACTCCAAAAGCTCCCCATGCTCTAACTGTATCTTCTCCAAAAGAATATTGTTCAGTTAAGATACTGTCCGATGTTCAGTTCTCAGGGTTTGCAAGGTTT